GCGGTCCAGAAAGGTCGAACCTGGTCTTCTGCAGCATCTCGCAGTCCTGCGAGGCACACCGTGTACGCCTGCCATGTATTGTACAAATAAAACTCATGCAGTAGTGGACTCTACAGTGATGAGTCTCAGCCTGTATGCTGCAAAAGACACAGGAAATGTGACTGGTGTCTGTACGCTCAGTGACTGGACGCCAACACCCCAGTCTTCTCCTGCAGGATCTGTTTGACATTGACATTATGCAGTAGGTCGGCATTGACCTGGTTTGGCAGCTATCGTAATAGTATCTGCCTGGTTGGATGTAGCAGGTTGGTGTTTGCTCGTCGTCCAGTCCGGAATTTTCTTGTAACTCACGGTGGAGTACGCGCAGGGTTTGTGATCATCCCTGTTCACTTCAATATTATCAAACACAACGTTCCCTTTGTCACTCATCTTATCCTGAGTACTGAATTTGCTGACAATATTGCACCACACTTCAGTTCCAGTGTCACAACCTACCGCCACTGCTGGCGGTGGCGACTGGTTCGTCAATGGCGGTGACCAGGCTGACTGACTAGCTTCGAGACAGCGGCCTCGTTGTCAACCCCGCGGCAGCCTAAAGGTTGATTTTATCGATCCAGCCTCAGCGCCATGTTGACGATGCCCTAGTGACTGTGTGTCATGGATTGCCTTGCCATCAGCGGTCATTGCCGTCCACCTTGGTGCGGCCCTCAACAACTGGCTCAGCCCATGGGAGTCTCAAGTGGACAAAGTTGTTGCCAAAGTAGCTCAGAAGATTGGTGCATCGTGGTGTAGGTGAGCACATAACTAGGACTTCCCAGCGCCTATTTGTCCAGGCTGCGATACTATGTGACATGCTGTACTGCACATTCTTTTCAGCACTGCAAGGCCGGCAGCTGGACCGACTGCAGGGGCCGCGCACATGCAGGCCGCCTGTTGCCAGTGCAGCATTCTGGAACGTTCCTTCCTTCTGAGATCCGTGGAATAATGACTTTCTTTGCTTCAAAGCAAGTTGCTTACCTTTCTGTTGTGCTCCCAGTGTCCTTACAACAATAACCTACAGCAATGTTTTATTTTCCTTTCCATTCCCCAACCAATGAATACTACAATGTCGATTCTATTTCTGAATACTTTAGTGTGTGCCCGCGCACGCACGTGTGTGTGTGTGTATACCTCACTCGCCACTCGAAGTTCTGTTCCCCATCACTGGAACACTGCCTGTTCTTTCAGGATCTGCCATCATCTGCGGATGGGCATTCAATGATTGTATTGTGTGTGTGTGTGTTTCATTCAGAATCAGATCCGCTATCGTTGCTATAAGAGAAAATCTGTGGGTTCACATCCAGTGCATTTGTAGATTTGCGTGCTTTTCTCGCCACGGGCGCATACATGGGACATTGTGTGTGTGTGTGTGTGTGTGTGTGCGTTTGTGTGTATGGGGATATTGTCTGTATCGGCTTTTGGTACTAATGTTCAGGTCTGTGCTTGCATGTGTGAACATGAAATTGTTCGGTTCTGTGCATGCTATTGCTATGTTGTATATTATTGTATGTATGTGTGCATTTCCACGAACAGTGTAGATGAGCGTGGAGTGTGCATTCATCCCTCATCAACCACTTCACCTTGGGCTTACGAGAGTTTTTTCTGCGTACCTCTCATTTTTGTTTGTTTCTCTCTGATACTGTATTGATGCCGGTACCTGTACCTCGATGTGTTCCTCTATCTGCAGTCGCCTTTAACCTTCGGTCAAGTTAACGTTTATTGTGCTCTATTTATCGTGCGAATCAAAATAAACAATATTATAATAACACAAGTCGTGCTAGAGTGACGAAATGTGCGTGTAGTAGGGTTGATGCGATGGGACGTTATAATTAGGTGGAACAGAACACACATTGGGCAGATTGATTGGGCATCATTGATTGTGCTCAGTCTAAACAGTGAACATAATAATTATCTCCAGTGACAGACTGTAGCGGCTAGCCTGGCAATAGGTAGCTGGCACTGGTCGCTACTGCTTGTTTGACAGGTGCCGCCAGAACCCCTGTTGTGTCATGCTATAGATGCACATGCCCTATTCTGGGGCATACTGAGGTACTTTGATTTTGTTGACTGCATGTAGACAGCATCCAATTGTAGTACTCGTAGACCTTGGCTCTTTGTAGGTCAACCACCATCGCATGGATCGATCACGGTGACTATGCACTTGGAGGTTGGAATAGCCCGCGCTGAACAGATCTTGCCATGGCCCAGGGAGTGAACTCGCTTACTTGACTATCCCGGTTTTAGTTAACCAGCATGAGTGGTGCAATTTGTCCATACCATGTTGCGAGCTCACAGTTGTTTGGGCAGGTTTTGAGCTGCACCACGAAACAAAGCGAAATAACGGCGTGACTGTAGAGCAAGGAAGCGGCGAGACGGCACTTCCAGGACGAGACAGGCAGTAGAGATGTGTTCCGCACAGCACGAGCAACCTCTCAAACCCTGCCGGTACTCCACAGTTACAAGAAAATGTCGGACTGGACGACGCGCCAATGCAAACCTGCTACATCCACCCAGGCAGATAGCTGCCAAACCAGGCCAATGTCGACCCACTGCATACCGGTATGTCAATGTCAAACAGATCCTGCAGGAGAAGACTGGGATGATATTGGCGTCCAGTGTACGGACACCAGTCACATTTCCTACGTCTTTTGCAGCATACAGGATAGACTCATCACTATAAAGTCCACTACTTCTTGATTTTTATTTGTAGAATACATGACAGGCGTACACGGTTATGCTGCAGAAGACCAGGTTCGACCTTTCTGGACCGCCATTCACCGACGGTGGGCTACACGATGCTGGAGGAACTAGATTCCAGTGAAAACCCAAGATTCCTTTGCTCCTGGACGCTCCGACGTGTTGTGATATCTGCCAGGTGCGCAGTAACTAGTATTTCCATCGCTATAGCGAGGACGACGCCGATCGGCAAACTCTCGCTCACAGCCATCACCAGCCTCTCAAAACCATCACTTGGCATCCCCCAGAGGTATAGGAGAAAGCCAAAACAGCTCTCAACAAACAAAAGCTAAGGACGATGGAAAGAGAGCATGTCAAAAAGAAGACGAACAGTATGAAGTTCAAATGGGTTTGAACACTCGTTCCACCAACTATACCACTTTCAATAAATCGTGACGCCATTTTGTTTTAACACGCATACGGTCCACTTACATGAACATGTAACTCCATATACATAATATTGCACAGTCATGTCAGTCCTTGTGTGACCTCCTAGATCCTGTGGCTCTACTCAGGGCACGATTATTTTTCCGGCTTGCCACATTTGACGCAAGAAAAGTGTCACCTGCCAATGCTATTTTAGTCACTGATTAGTATAGTGGCTCCTGATCCTGGCTCCGTGAAACACTAAATATGGCAGCTAACACCCGGGCCTCTGAGCTTCACGCACAGTATTATTATTATGTTCAAGCACATCAAAGATACGGCTTCAAAGTTTGGACTTCTAAGTTAGTTCTAGTCTGGAGCGGGAGAAAGTGTAATACAGTCATGAAGATGATCTACAGGATTGTACTTGATTGTACTACAAGAACTTGGATTCAGAATGGTATCCAACAGGAAGAAACACGAAACGCTCACCATGATTTGTTGAACTTCGACCCTGGAACACGTCATTTTGACGGTCTGTGTTTAGTTGTTCTTGGGGAATACAGGACATTGCATGATTTGCATCGCTGCAAAGACTCCGGCCCACTCCGGGATTGATAAGGAAAGAATAGGTAAGTCATCCGTTGGAAAGACTCGCCACATAGAGGTCTACTAGCAGTAGTACTAGTCTAGATCCTCGTCCTAACCAAATCATGCCGGATAGTTATTTACTGTCCGAATTTCGTCATAATTTTGATGAAATGAGGTCAGATATAGATGCCGCTGCGGACGCGTTCGTTGCGAGGCTGTCGCCACGAATCATCACACTTATAATAGTAGTATTACTAGTATTAGTAACATTACTTACCATGATTATGTACTTGCAGAACCACTGACCATGCAGCGTTGATAGGGAGGGCCCAAATATGCTAAAAAATTTCGCATATTATGCTTTTCGCATATTGGCCACTTGCTTCAAAATATGCTTCGAAATCACACAAAAGCAGAAAAATATGCTCGAAATATGCTCAAAATATGAACTGATATCAGTGATAATTATGCGAATTCTTTGCTCCCTGTAGCAAAATATGCTACATGTGGTACAATATGCTACATTTGCTACTTTATGCGACCTTGAGTCGCGGACACTCTCTTCTCGGGTCAAAATTTCGCCCCGTGTTTGGATGAGCATTTTTCCTTCCGGGCTAAGTTTGGAAGTATTCCCTGACCGAGCGTGCCGTGGTAATTTTCCTTGTCCATTCCCGCAATCTGCCCTATAATTATGCGAATTCTTCGCTCCTTGTAGCAAAATATGCTACATTTGCTACTTTATGCGACCTTGTGTCAAAAGGACCAAATATGCGAAAATATGCGCAAGCATATTCGGGCCCTACCTAAGCGCTGATGCACACAGTGGCTGAGGCATCAAGTCGGTCAGTGACACCACCCATGACATGGACACACGGCTGCGCATCGCTTGTTCTGTTGTTGTCTCACATAGACCGCGGTCAGCAGGATGACCACGCAGTACACTTGAGAGATCTACACCATGCATAGTACTACATGTAGTAGACCTGGTAGACCATGCAATGATGCATGGTCCATGGTGGACGTCTGCACTCCGATCCGGAAGAAGAATCACAGATGGACGAGTAGCGTGTTTTCAACGCGCATTCACCATGTTCACAGGAACAGTGCAAGTCGAGGCGATCGCGCGAATTTCCCCGGCCATTTTGCTTGTGTTCAGGAAGTGCCCGACAGGCTGTCGTTGTCTTGCGACTGCACTGATGATCAGTGAAGGAAAATCGGTATTCGTGGTACTCATAGTAATCATGGTAATGGTAATAATCTGTGCATTGATGCGCCTGTTGTTCGGAAGCAGACGATGGAGTATGGAGCATGGGCATTCTGGACATGCTGGCTACGCTAACTATCAAATTATTATTATTATTATTCGAAGAGTGCGAGCGTAGTGCTTTTGTAAACATATGCCGAATAGGCTTTCGTTGGAAACCCAATGCAGTTTTGTCCTTTTCATAAGCCAGAAGCCGGTACTAGCACCGACGGAGGAGACCTGCACTGGCAGGCTGCAGGAGTTACAGAATACACACAGTCCTAACAGAAAAGCGGGAAGAGTCGCCGCTTTTCTATATCGGATTCAGGACCTCCGTCTCCGTCAAGAATTTGTTGTCTCTGTGGCAGAAGGTTTCGTCGTCAAACTGCCAGAAGCCTTTTCGTCGGTCAACATAAGTACACCGCCAGCTATTGATGCGGTAGCAGTCCGAGTCGGCGCTGGAGCCGTCCTCTGACAAACGTGTGCTATAGCAGCTGAGTAGTGTTCGACCTTCACCGCACTAGCATTCTCCTGTCTGCATCGGAGAGGGAGGCCGAGAGGGAAACGTAACCACCAACCGATGACAAGCAAGTTGTAAATTGTAAAATCTTCTCCAGTGCCACCGACCCTGTAACAGCACGCTACCTTGGCATCACCGTTCGTGTACCTTCCGAAGCTCTTTGTGATTTTGGTGTGCTTGGCTTGTGATACTCCGCACAACAGATACACGCACCTGAAGTTTGTTTGCGCCCCACGCAGTGCCGGATGTTGTCCTGAAGGTCAAGATCACAAATTACGCTACTGCTGGGACCTGGCTTTCGCGTGGGTGCTGCATGAGGACCTAGCTCTCAAGTCGAAACTCAAAACTCGTCATTTTGATGGTGGATTTACTCAGTTCTTGGATCTCTCCTGGAGCGCTGCTTGGTCTGCAAGCTCTCAGCTGATATGTTATGCATGTGCATTGTCACCACCAAGAGAGACAAACCAACATTGCGATAGAGGAATCTTTCATAGAGGAATCTTCGTAGAGGAATCTTCATTGAGGAGTCTTCGTAGAGGACTCTTTGGAGGCAAGCGTTTGGGTGGTCGTTGACGCCACGGCGCGCTGTGTGATCAGCAGCAGGGGTACAACAGCTGAACAAGTAAGTCTGAAGACACTAACTACTGGTGAATTCCATCATTCTTGCACAGTACTGTCGGTCGACGAAGAACTGAGGGATCAGCCTCCTAGCCTAGACAGTTCTTATTTGCATGTACGTCCTATAGTCTATAGTCTATGCACAGTTGAGACACCGTATATACATCGGTATGACTGCTGTGCTTGGTGAAATTCTAGTCTGGTCATTCTTCGGCGCCCGACAGTACTGTAGTTCATTTGCCCGGCCAGTTTGGCGTAAGAGGCAGCTTGGTGTAACAGGCAGCTTGGTGTAACAGCCAGTTTGGTGTAACAGCCAGTTTGGTGTAACTGGCAGCTTGGTGTAACTGGCAGCTTGGTGTAAGAGGCAGCTTGGCGTAAGAGGCAGCTTGGTGTAAGAGGCAGCTTGGTATAAGATGCAGCTTGGTGTAAGAGGCAGCAACAAGCTGTGTAGGGAGTACCACACTTCTCCTGTAGCAGCATTTTTGCAGAACAAGAACAGGCATTGCTTGCACTCACTTAGAAGCTGAAAGCATACACATTGGCTGCAAGTACGTGTATTCGACATCGTACTCATCATCAATAGGACCAGCCGCAGCGAAACCAACTGTGCCAGTTACATCGTACTAAAGTAAAACAGAGAGGTTCCAGGCTGTCCAAGAGAGTGCTCAATACCGAGTGGTGGAGCACTAAAGTACATGATTGCACATGGTATTCCGTAACAGCTATAATGTAAACCTTGGTTGATGGGTTAGCATGTTGGACGCTTGACAGCATGTTGCAAGGAGCACTGTTTTTGACACAGGCTCTCAGTGCATCCTCCACCTTTTAGCATGCTGTCAAATCGTCCAACTTGATTGTACATGTACATCATTGAGTCCCTACCTGTGGAGTATGAAGTGTTTGTGAGTACACACGGATCTCGTGCTCATCTGTGCACCTGGTTTTGTTGTCTGAACTGACTGCACCTACTATGTACTCCGATCCGGCCTATATCCATTATGGGGAATTCCCCTGAGTAGACGAAAACAAGTCAGTTGAACAGGTGAACTTTGCAGGCCTGGGAGAGCATTGTACTGCACATGTCCACTGCACATGTACATTGTACACCTATGTGTCCTGCTTGTGGAGGGTGAGGTGATCGTGAGTAAGTAAAGTTTGCACGTCCGCGTTACCACCGGCTATACAATTGCGTTGAGAAACACAACCAGCTTAGGAAGTTTCGCATGTGCCAGGCCACCGCCATGCCTGTGATACCACACACGGATATCGCACTCATCTGTGCACCTGGTTTTGTTGGCTGAACTGACTGCACCTAACAGTTATGTACTCTGATCCTATATCCATTATGGGGAATTCCCCTGCCTCTACCTCTCTGCCTCGTATCTGCTTGTTTCAGCTTCACATTCCTCTAGCCGCAGATATGACAGCTAGCGCAGCAGACCTCACTGGACAAGAAGAACAGTTTAGTGAGGGGGGGGAGGGGGAGAGACCCTAGCAAGGAGTGTTTGAAGATACCTTACTACTGGTGCTTCGAGACAATCACATAGAGCAGCCCATGAACGCTGGGGTAAAAACTGGTATGTCCATGACTGCACCAGCCGTACCAGTGGCGCCGGCCCTACTATAGTCATACCTTGCTTATCCAGTCCTCTTTTATCCCCATACCTCACGACACCATCTGCAAAAATATCGTTGGTTATGGATTTACAGCATATGTCATTCATATGTTCAGTATGTGTATTTGATTATCCGGTTCCCTCGCCTATCCGCATATTTTTGTGGACAACTATTGTGTGCGGTTAAGCGGCGAGGTCTGGCTGTACATACATGTAACACGGCTGGCAATGTAACTAGTCATGTGAATTTCCATGTGGCTGGTCACGTGACGGATCATGTGCCTGATTGTGTGGCTCCGTGTGTATGGCTGGTTGCGTGGCCAAGGAACACTGTACTGGATGTATGTCCTCTGCTCGTTATTCTGCAGTGTCCGGCATAGCAACACTTCGCTCGGACAATTGGTTTAAGGCGTGCTGCTCGTTGGTGGAGATTGATGCTGTATCAGACCTGAAAGAGCAACTAGCTTTGGGCTTCCCGGAATTTGAATCGTCTCATCTGAAGCACCTGCATGTGCTTGGACGCTCGTACAAGTGCTCAGAGCTGTCTGTTCAGGTGTGTGTAGGATTATGTGTGTGTGTAGGATTATGTGTGTGTGTAGGATTATGTGTGTGTAGGATTATGTGTGTGTGTAGGATTATGTGTGTGTGCGTAGGATTATGTGTGTGTGTAGGATTATGTATGTGTGTAGGATTGTGTGTGTGTGTAGGATTGTGTGTGTGTGTGTGCGTGCGTGCGTGTGTGTGGCCAGAAAAAATCCAGGTCATAGCTATGTGGTGTAGACCAGGCTGAATAGTGGGATCAATTCTTCAGCCTTGCAAGCTGTTGAATGGTGCAATCCCAGCACAAGCTGCTATGGCTTCTGCTGTAGAATCGCTATCATCTCCTCCGGCGATGGACGTCAAATGGTCAATGGTGTGTGTGTAGGATTGTGTGTATAGATTTTTGGTTGGAGGAAAGCAAATCAGCACACGAAGCACAGAAGCCATATAATTTTGACTAGGCCTTTCGTACGTGTGTGTGTGTGTGTGCAAGCAAAAGAAGTGTGTGCGAAAGTTGTCAGTGTTTTGACATTGTAGTACCGTGGTCCCCACTGTTGTCTGATACTGGTAATATTCATTGTCTCACTGTGTAGTTGGCGCCACTAGCGCTATCTTTTAAAGTGCTATTTGGTCTATGCTCTGACCGCCAAATATGTTGTTGGCGCCACTAGCGCTATTTTTCAAGTGCTCTTTTTGTCCATGCTCTGACCACCAAAGTGCCGGTTATAAGGACTTGCTTGCTACCTTGTTAATAGTGCTGAGTCGGGTAGCGTTTTCTTCGGGTATCGGGTTCGGGTAGGTTTCCACGGGTAGCACGGGTACCCGGTCGGGTAATGTTTCCATGGTAATACCACACTGCACCCCTTCCCTTACACACTGGGTAGACATGCGGAGTATTACAATGTAAAAATTCATGTCATGAATTTTAACACATGCACTGCACATGATGTCGTCTGCGACTTCGGGTTTTCGGGTACTATCCTGTACCCGACTACCCGAGGTCCTCACGGGTAGCACAGGTACCCGACTACCCGTGCACACCCCTACTTGTTAATCACCATTGTATTCGACTTGAAGAGCAATGGTACGAAAGGCCTAGTCGAAATTATATGGCTTCTGTGCTTCGTGTGCGGATTGTGTGTGTGTGTGTGTGTGTGTGTGTGTGTGTGTGTGTGTGTGTGTGTGTGTGGTGTGTGTGTGTGTGTGTGTGTGTGTGTGTGTGTGTGTGTGTGTGTGTGCGTGTGTGTGTGTGTCTGGGTGTGTGTGTCTGTGTGTGTGTCTGTGTGTGTGCGTGTGTGCGTGTGTGTCTGTGTGTGTGTGTGTGTGTGTGTGTGTGTGTGTGTGTGTGTGCGCGCGTATGTGTCTGTGTGTGTAGGATTGTGTGTGTGTGTGCGTGCGTGCGTGCGTGCGTGTGTGTGTGGATTTCATAGCTGTGTGGTGTAGACCAGGCTGTTGTGAAACCACAAGTTCTCGAGAGTGAAAGGCCTTCTCGCTTGTGACATTGTGTTCGTTTCAATGCAGTTGTATCCCGACTCCGCCGTACCGCTGATGTTTACGACGTAGTATACGCTACATGCGCTATGTGCGGTTTGCTGTGTGCGCTGTAGTTGTATGTTGTATGTGTATGCTTTTCTCATATACGCTGTCATTTCCACGCTATAACTACCTGGTGATTTTAGTGTTTTTTCATTCATTCATTCATTGTTCATTGTTTAGTCAGTCGATGGAAGTGAAATATACTGTTGAGAATAAATAGTTGTCCTCGTGCCGTGTGGAGTCGTTCGTTCCTGACACTTTAGAGAACCAGAGGGTTCACAACAGTTGGCGACCACGCCAGGATACAAAGCAAGCATGGCACAGGAACTATGGATCATTGAAGCCAGCTTTGTCGCTAGCGGAATTCGGTATGGATTTGAAGGCGATAGGTTGAGAGAATACGTGGAGAAGAGGCTCCGACAGAGCGAGGAGTTTGAAGAGCGCAGTGCTAGACGGCAAGAGGGTGCGCTCCGCACAGAGTTTAACGAAAAGCTCAAGAAAATGGACGAGCGCATCGCCGTCAGTACATACTATGAGGAAGCAAAGCGAGATTTGCTTGCCTCGCCCGGAAGGACGCCGGACAAGGCGTGTAAGACTTTGCTTACAGACAAGCAGCGGTCAGAAGAGTATTTGAAGCCAGTGGGAGGATCGGATCCAAGGCCCACTGCGTCGGTACAGTGCATGGCGACATCGGTCGGAGACGCTCAGAAGCAGCTGGAGTCTTGGCCGAACGACGTAGAAGCGCAAGACGTAGAGGCGCAAGACGTAGAGGCACAAGACGTAGAGGCGCAAGAGTAAGAGGCGCAAGACGTAGAGGCGCAAGAGTTAGAGGCGCAAGACGTAGAAGCGCAAGACATAGAAGCGCAAGACGTAGAAGCGCAAGGCGTAGAAGCTAAGGAAATGAGAAGGGCGATACTGGTTAGCACGGAAGAAGTAAGCGGCGAGACTGTGTGGAACACGGAGATCGAATGTAGGTTGTCTGGTCCAGCGTCCGCCCCATGTCGAAGTGGATCGGTGACAGTGTCGTGTGCAACAGCCCACAGCGGCAAGCTTCGCGAAATCGAGTTGGCCGAAGTGGTGGGCATTAGTGATATTCTACCATGGCCACCACCGCAGCAGCAGATGACGCGTAGTAAGCCCCAAATCGTTTGACTTGTGAGTTGTTGTACGGCGGTGAGAAGCCCTTTGGTGGGGAGAATGTTGTGAAACCACAAGTTCTCGAGACTGAAAGGCCTTCTCGCTTGTGACATTGTGTTCGTTTCAATGCAGTTGTATCCCGACTCCGCCGTACCGCTGATGTTTACGACGTAGTATACGCTACATGCGCTATGTGCGGTTTGCTGTGTGCGCTGTAGTTGTATGTTGTATGTGTATGCTTTTCTCATATACGCTGTCATTTCCACGCTATAACTACCTGGTGATTTTAGTGTTTTTTCATTCATTCATTCATTGTTCATTGTTTAGTCAGTCGATGGAAGTGAAATATACTGTCGAGAATAAATAGTTGTCCTCGTGCCGTGTGGAGTCGTTCGTTCCTGACACTTTAGAGAACCAGAGGGTTCACAACACAGGCTGAATAGTGGCGGTCAATTCTTCAGCCTTGCAAGCTGTTGAATGGTGCAATCCCGGCACAAGTTGCTATGGCTTCTGCTATAGCATCGCTATCATCGCCTCTGGCGATGGGCGTCCAATGGTGTGTGTGTGTGTGTGTGTGTGTGTGTGTGTGTGTGTGTGTGTGTGTGTGTGTGTGTGTGTGTGTGTGTATGTGTGTGTGTGTGTGTGCCAGCTAGTTCGGTTGGTAGGTACACTTATGCCTGATTGTGTTGGGTATGTTGCCAACGGGCTCTGCTGCTTGAAGGTGTAATGTTGTACTTGCCACCTTTGTTGGTTCCAGGGTTCATATACTTTCTATTTGAAGTATACATACCTGTTAACCATGGACTGCTTCTGGCTAGATTAACTCTTGTGTAATCGATGGTGCTAGTGATGTCTAAATCAGATCCAGCCTGATTTACCTTCACTGGGGGCAGGGGTAACTGCAGTTGGATCCCAGGACGGATTGGATTGGATTTTTGGATTGGTTTATTTAACGTCGAATAACAAACAGGCAGTGTTGCCTTATTACATGAGATCGACTAAAGTTACAGTCACACAAATGTAAGGAAAAGATTTTAAAATAAAAAATAAAAAATAGAGTAGGATTTAAGACAGCAGAGGAAAGATTGCATAATTATTTGATCGGTGAGCAACGTAAGTCAGTGAATTTTTCAGGTGGGGTAAGAGAGCGGTCCGGAATTGACCTGGTTTCTTCAGTGATCGTATAGATGCAGGCAACTTATTCCAGAGAGCGGGACATTGATATGAAGGGCTGTGTGTGGCAGCGGCAGATATGATCCTCGGGCAAAGAAGCAGGGTAACATCTGTGCTCCTCGTTCGACGGGTGTGTGACAGAGGTGTAACGAGGTCATGAAGAAGCACACTACAGTTATTATGAATTACACGAAAGGTTAGCAGGAGGAGTTTGCGGCAATACATTGATTGCAGGGGTTGAATGCTGAGGCGTTGAAAAAGAGGGGCAGTTGCAGACGGGAAGGGAGCAGAGCAGACAACACGCACAGCTCACTTGAGAAGTTTCTCAAGACGATCACGTTGTGCAGAGGAAAGGGAAGAGGAAAAGCTGTTGCATGCGTATAGGAATGTGGGTAAAATTATACATCTCAAGTAGGTTGAGCGGCATGGCATTGGGAGGCACTGCCTGTGGCGGAAGAGAATGGCAATCTTTGAGGACACTGTCTTGGCTATATGGTCAACCATTGTGTTCCATTTCAGGTCGTCATCGATGTGCAAGCCCAGGTACTTGGCGCTTGTCACTTGCTGGAGGAGTGTAGCTGCACAGTGCACATTCAATGTCCCGTCGTCATGACTATTGGCAGGAATAAACAATATTTTGTGTTTTTCGACTATTCAGGATTAGGTTGCGCTCACCAAGCCAGTTGCTGAGATGGGTGATGGCTGAAGACAGGTTGTGTGACAGCACTACCTTGTCCTTCCTGCTATCGTGTAGCATGATGTCGTCCGCGAATTGGGTTACCTGGACGGCAAACTGATGCACTTCACTGGCGACATCCCTGTCATATATGACAAACAATAGTGGTCCCAGTACAGACCCTTGGGGAACCCCACTTGAGCATGTGAAAGATGAGCTGCTATCGCCGCTGATGACGACTTGTTGTTGACGATTTGAGAGGTAGTTGCTTAACCAGTTCAGGGCTGTGCCGGAGATTCCAAGCTGGAATAGGTCTTCGACAAGTGTCTGATGCTGGACCTTGTCAAAGGCCTTTGACATGTCCAGGAAAGCAGCGCCAGTTGACAGCCCGTCATCTCGGGCTCTTAGGAATTTGTCTGTAACCATTGTGAGAGCATCCTCTGTAGAGTGCTGGCGTCTGAAGCCAAATTGACAGGAAGGGTAAAGATTATGTTCAGCCAGGTATTGACTGAGTTGCTCATGGACGATAAGCTCAAGCAGCTTGGAGACTATAGGGAGCAAAGAGACAGGTCTATAGTTGGTGGGTTGACTGGGGTCACCACCTTTGTAGACGGGAGTGATGTTCGCGATTTTCGTGCTCGGTGGCAGCTGGCCTTCGGACAATGATTTGTTGAAGATGAGCATCAGTGAGGGTGCAAGAAGGTCAGCGCAGGATTTAAGAATCGTTCCTGGCAAGCCATCACTGCCAGTAGCTTTTGTCGTGGGTATTGACGATAGGAGCTTACGCACACGGGCAATGGTAACAGGCTTAAAGATTGAAAGGCTGTTTGGAGACATGGGGTCTTTTATTATTCTTTTATTCCACGATGGCGTGACGCCAATAAGGATGATTGTTAAGTGCGTTAGAACTGGTACTAGCCAGAAACAACTAGATGGAAATTAACCGGGGAGGCAAGAAGCAATGGATCATGAAAAACAAGCGGGGGGGGGGGGGCAATAACGTTAGCGGGGGTGATCGAGATAGTTAAGTACACGTTCGAGATATCAGAAACCAGGGGGATGCGCCGAGCAGGAACAGGTACTGCTCAAAAGAAGACCTTTGAGTCTCTCTCCCCTCTCCCGCGGAGACCCACGTGACCAGTTTTGGCAGTGAGCAACAAGTACAAGTGTGTGTGTGTGTGTATGTATGTGTGTGCTGTAGAACGACATGCTGCCATCAATACAAATCACTGTGCTTAGCTGTCTTATACATTTACAGGCATTTCATGATCATCGCCATCTGCGCCTGGCCATCTAAGGCCTCTGCTTGGATGACCACTACATCAAAGCTTTAAAAGTGGGCTATGTTAAAGGGGAAGTATACCCTAAAATCAAATTTTCACCAGTTGTAGTCTTCGGGGTGCTGAGTCGAATGGTCTTGGTCCGAGGAAGCTGAGACGCTCCCTTCCTACTTGAATCCCAATCGAACTCGCGCACTTCCACCGAAACTGGGTGACTGCGCCCTACTAGATGGGGATTTGTATGCAAAATGTCACTAAAAGCGCCATTTCGTTCTTATAAAAGCACGGATGACCGCGATTGGCCCATATGTTGTAGTCTTTTGGACGCTGAGTCGACTGGTTTTGGTCCGAAAAGGCTGCGATGCAGCATTCCTCTTTTATTCCCAATCGAACATGGTTGAACAAGCGGTCACGTGCTCCTGCGTACACCAGTCACCTGGTCACCGTGCCTGCAGGGTACAACTTACTAGCCTGTTTGACCTTTTTTGGGTGCAGTCCTGTCACTCGAGTTGAACTCGGGTTGAACCTTGGTGTGAAAGTTGTCGCCTGCTGGCGCGGTGACCAGGTGATTTGGGCACCCAGGAGCACGTGACCGCTTGTTCAACCATGTTCGATTGGGAATAAAGGAGGAACGCTGCGTCGCAGCCTTTTCGGACCAAAACCAGTCGACTCAGCGTCCAAAAGACTACAACATATGGGCCAATCGCGGTCATCCGTGCTTTTATAAGAACGAAATGGCGCTTTTAGTGACATTTTGCATACAAATCCCCATCTAGTAGGGCGCAGTCACCCAGTTTCGGTGGAAGTGCGCGAGTTCGATTGGGATTCAAGTAGGAAGGGAGCGTCGCAGCTTCCTCGGACCAAGACCATTCGACTCAGCACCCAGAAGACTACAACTGGTGAAAATTTGATTTTTGGGTATACTTCCCCTTTAAGTTTGAGTGCAGGTGGTGTACAGTCTTTTTCTGCAGGTTCCTTTCCCATTCAACTTCCTCAAGTAATGTGGTTTGTGCACATGTGTTGGTTTATCTGTGTGTGTATGTGTGTGTATGTGTGCATGTGTATGTGTGCATGTGTATGTGCGTGCATACGCGCGCGCGCGTGTTTGTGTGTATCTGTGCATGTATGTGTATGTGTGCACGTGCCTGCATGTATGTGAGATGTGTGTGTGTGTGTGTGTGTGTGTGTGTGTGTGTGTGTGTGTGTGTGTGTGTGTGTGTGTGTGTGTGTGTGTGTGTGTGTGTGTGTGTGTGTGTGTGTGGACGCGTGCATGCATCTATGTGCTGCATATGCTGTGCTTTGTGCGTAGGCTGGCCTTCTGCTGATTGCTATTCATAATGCCAGCGTAACATGCCTGGAGTACCTCCTAAGCCAGGTGACGGATGCTGACCTGAACAGGCGTTATCATCTCAACTCAGTAAGTACATGTGCATGCATGCAGTGCTGTCGGGCGCCGAAGAACGGCCAGGCAAGAATTTCCCCAATTCTTAAGAAAGGTGTAGGCCGGGAAGTTTTTCAGATAAGAACGGAAACCGTAATACACACTATAATGTACAATCAGATGTATAACTCTGCAAAAATGTACATGTAAGACTGTACAATCAAATAAGAACGAAACTGCTGTGTTCGCTAAAAATAAGAACGGGCCAGGCTAGAACCCTGACCCCCCCAGTTCTTCGGCGCCCGACAGTACAGTTCCATTGTACTTGGTATGGTAGTGCATAGTGTGTAATCTGATGACATTGATCAGTTGATCAGTTGATCAGTTAGCAATGTGTACCAGTGCACAGCTTAGTGTTGACAGGTGTAAGGTCGCACAGCACCTGGTGCGAAAATTGACACTTGAGAACAAATTTGTTTTGCGTCACCGCAACAGAAGCCACATCTACATCGCATATGCACGACGGCCTTCGTTAACAGCTGTTGTATTTGCGATGCGAAAAAGAGGCTGTTGCAACTTCGGCGATTGCATTTGCAATTGTGTAATTGATACCGTGCAAATTTCCTACAGCAGCTGTTCTGCTGCCTCAAGGGTTGCATAGGCAACATACGCAATCTGCGGACAGAACTGTTTCGTCCTTTGTGGACCCATCAGCGCAGCACAGAGGAAATGAGGCCAAACCTGATAGCAATGAAAAATAAATTCCAAAGCCAGATTTAAACCGGGCCCGAACGTACCTTGCCAGAGTGCTCAAACTGACAAGTCAGTGAGCTCTGCATAACGCAAACAGCAAAGGCACTATCCCACACAAGAGTGCTCAACTGCTACAAGAGCAGGAGCGAAATACTCCATCTACGGGCAGAACTGTTTCGTCCTTTTTGGACTGATCAGTGCAGCACATGTAGGTACAGGTGCAAGGGTAACATTATTGTTGTGGACATTGAAATCCGCTGAGAAGTCAAGCGGCCACGGGGCGCTGGCCTTGCAGCCGTGAACACTGCTGGTGCTTTTTGCAGTGTGTACGTGAGCTACAGTGCGCATACGAGTACTTGCTAAGGCAGTGGGGGGGGGGGGGGGCGGCCCCGGTCAATCTATTGGATTTCAATGTCCACAGCAGCAGATTCAGCAAATGGGACTTCGGCTTTTGACAGCCGGCTTGTGGATCTGCTATCTATCCTCCGCGACCGAGCTACATCTGACACCTGATCATGGGGTGGTGTTCAGCTGGTCAGGGAGAATATATCAGAAAGAACTAGCATAGGTGACTAGCGTAGGTGAAAGGTTGTGTGCCCTGTTGTCGTACTTGCTGACTGTATATTATCTGGTTACATTGGTGGTCAGTTGGTCATAACTCGTAACATGTTGTCCTTCCTATATTTATCCACGATGACATAATCATTGGCTCAATATCCGAGTTCAAAGTAGACGAAAAGAGTTCTCCAATCTCATCATTTTGTTTTCTGGTGCAGGCCTCCGTCCAAGAAACACCACTGCATTACGCAATTCGGAAGCACCACAACACGATAGTAGATCTGCTGCTCTCGAAGAATGTTTCCCTGACCAAGCTGAATTCGGTACGGTGCCTATTGTGTGTGTGGCTGCCTTTCTGAACACCGTGCCGCTCATGCATGTTAAGTTATGTATGTTAAAAGTCCATTCAGAAAAAAATGATTATCTTGATTTTGGCCATAAAGGAGTCAACGGTAGACTTTTTTTTAACTTGTTTTGGCTATGCAGTATGGAATGCACTTCCTTCATGTTTTGGGTGTCTATTTCTCCAAAAGGTGGACCGTAAGGAAGTTTTTTCAGCAGGGTTTAGCATTGATACGGAAATGCTGGTCCAAAGCCCATTTCTGGCCGAATAAGAATTGGTGTTTTTATCCAGAGATCAATTTAGTGAACGGACCATAAGTACAGTACATATACAGTCAACTTTGCTAATAACGACTGCGGATATAACGACAATTCGCGAATAACGACAGAATTTCCATGCCCAGAGCAAAGTCCCATCCAACTGTAATACATATACATGTAATGAGACTTCGGGTATAACGACACTTCGCGAATAAGGACACCTTTTTGACGCCCCACCGAGTGTCGTTATATGCGAAGTTGACTGTACATGTACTTGTAGTTGAGACTTTGAGCTTCACACTCAAAACTCATCAGTAGGGATATTTAGCATTTCAATTCTTAGCGCAGTCAAATCTTCCAGTCAAAACTCAATTTATTGCTTAGCATTGTTTAGCATTGTTTAGCATGCCTTAGTTTAGGAAAGACCAGTTGTAGACGTCTTAGTCTTCATTTATTAGACTTGCTTGTAAATATAAAGGTTATTAGAAGCAAATCATGCTCTCCTTCTGTCTGTCTGTATCTCTCTCTCTCCCCCCCCCCCCCCCCCCTCTCTCCTCTCTCTCCTTCTCTGCACTGTCCTGCGTATGCCTGCCATAGCTGCAGCAGACACCGCTGGACTTTTGTATGCTGGAGGCACCCGGTTGTTTGCCAAACTTGCTGCAGCACATTGATCAGCTGGAGTACACCAAAAAGGTACCAATCGCGTGGGTCGTGGGTTGAGTTGTCCATGAGGCATTCGTGCTTTTCCCCACTCGTCAGGTTTTCACTGGTAAACCCGGCAGTATTTGCCCCGCTATATCAATAACCTGTGTGTGTTTGTAGATAATCACTGCAGTACTGTCGGGCGCCGCAGAACAGAGCGCCGAAGAGCGGCCAGGCTAGAATTTCACCAATGTGCACTCAGCAGCATAACTCTGCACAGGTTTGGATGGTACATTTCCGTAATTTCATGGCAAGTCAAAACATGGGTGAACTGGCAGGTGTGCATTTATCATCAACAGCCATGTACTGGTACTGATCCATGCATGTACGGTCCACAATGACACCGTTTTGTCATGTAGACTTTCGTACATACAGTCAACGTCGCGTATAACGACACTCGGCGGGGCATCAAAAAAGGTGTCCTTATCCGCGAAGTGTCGTTATACCCGAAGTCTCATTATATGTGTTACAGTTGGATGGGACTTTGCTCTGGGCATGGAAATTCTGTCGTTATTCGCGAATTGTCGTTATATCCGCAGTCGTTATTAGCCAAGTTGTCTGTACTACGACATGTACATGTACAATCATGTACTTGCAAAGCATGACTGTGCCATTGAACAAGAACGAAACGGCTGTGTTCGCGTAAAATAAGAACGTTCTAGGCTAGAACCCTGACCTCAGTCCCAGTTCTTCGGTGCCCGCCAGTACTGTGCTTACACTGCCTGTTTTAAGATGGTGGAACCTCCCTGAAACACCCTTGACACACATGTGATTCAGTTGTGTTCTGGTTCTTCTGTGCGGTGTAGGTGACAAAGCTGCTGAAGGAGTCGGTGGACAAGACGAAAGGACGTGCCTCGCGTCATGCCACTGGGCTTGTCGAGGTTGGTAATGTTTTCTGATGTGAATATTGTGCTGCTATTGCTATAGAATGAGCGGAGGTATTTCTAGTGTGCTAGCAGTGCTGCAAGCACTAGGATGCCAGGGGCGGATCCAGGAGGGGTTCCAGCTAAATTTCGTGAATGTATTACTGGCAACCATATGCATGTCCATGTACATGTATCAGCTACCATGTCGCCTTCGCGAGTTCCCATGCCAGTCATCGTGTCACCAGATGATGTCATCATCAGGCCACAAAATGACATCATCATGTCACCCGATGATGTCATATCGTGGCCTGATGTTGTCATCATGTCCCCATAATTCCATTTAACTATGTCTAGCTCATTGAATGGCCGGTCAAACAGCCTGTCAAACTAGTCCATCAGAGTGGGTGCTGCACTTTCCTACAATACCCTCTGCTAGAACCCTACCCTCTACTAGTAATGTCTGCATCTCACATGTGTCCTGTATCTTGTTTTGACTGCAGAAATCATGGCTGTACAGAGTCCTAGGTTGCGGCGAGCAGAGCTTCATCTACGACGTTTCTCTGACGGTTGTGGGTGCGCCTGGCAGCGGCAAGACGACTCTCGTCGAGTCGATGGCCACGTCCCGCTGGACGCTGAAGCACGGCGACAAGAAGGCCGCAGCGTGGTCGGACGAGGACGGCAAGCGAACGCGAGGCATGGCCGTTGGCAGCTTCAAGATGGACGGCATGACGATGCGCTGTGTGGAGCTGCCCGGCAACAATGCCTTCTCTCCCGCCTACTGCCTGTTTGCACGGCAGACGACGACGGACGTTCCCAGCATAGCCATAGTGGTGTGCTCATGTATGCAGTCACGCACACAGGTGGCTCTGGAGCTCAAGCATAGCTTCTCGATGCTAGCAACTCTATCAAGAAGAAACCCCGCTGAAGGTTCGGATCGCTGTTGTGTGACTGGTGTGTTGTGTTTGGCGTGTGACATAGCACGGTGAAGTGACAGGGTGGAAGCCTCATTGCAAGAGACAGGGATCTAGACTATAGCCAGAACCAGTTGGCTGTGTGTTTGACCATATGAAGCTGCCGCACGTTTGTCCGTTGCACTTGCCGAGGTTGCATAAACGCCAACGGGTTCTGGTTGTAGCCAGGAGTCAGTGATCATACAAAACTGATTGTGTGTGGCTGACTGTCTGTCTGTCTTTCTGTCTGTCTGTCTCACTCCTCCTATTTTACACACACGTGTGCGCGCACACATGCACACACACACACACACACACACACGCACGCACCGCGCGCACACGCACACACACACACACACACACACACACACACACACACACACACACACACACACACACCAACTCCCTGTACAGATCAGCGACTGCTGACGTTCACCATCTTCTCGCGAGCAGACTTGGCCAGTATGTCAGAACGAGAGAATGGCACGCTTGTCCATCAGGAAGTCAAAGCAGACTATGCCTCACTTCTCAACCTACAGGAGCCATTCTTCGTCAACACGCTAAAAGCTTGGGACACGGATATGTGCTTCTTCCGCGTGGCCTTCTCCGAAGCAATAACCCGTGCTGTTGGGGTGAGTCCTCGCACACCGCTTTAGGAGCTGCACCTGCGCCTTAGATCTTTACAGGGTGGTGTTGTTCCTATGGATGCTGAAGACTCAGTCTAACCGAGCATCAAGCAAACCGTAAAATTGGGAGGAGGGGGGGGGGGGGTGAAGTCATCATAGTGCTTAGAAAGTCCTGCAGCTTGATCATTGAGGGTGATGGCGTTATTACGGATGCGAAAAACTCAGTCCAACCAGAGTCTCGTCCAAACCGTGAAATGTATTAGAAAGTCCCTTGTGCAAACTGCTGTAATTTCACAAATTTTCGGTGTACTTTTATTTTCTTTCGGTGCATCTGTTTCATACCTAAAATTTCAATACACCGAACAAACACTAACACGTATAATCCAATGGGGAACTGCTTCCCTGTACCGAAAATTTCAGTTCACCTAACCTAGCCTTTTGCTCTCACACCGAAGATAATTATTGAGCACCGAAAATTTCTGAAATTAGAGTAAACTCCATGTGATGAGGAGGACAGTACGGGAACTGGTCATGGGTAGAATGAATTGATTGTCCTTTTGTGTGCCAGCAGAAGCCTGTGCCATACCTGCCTACCAGCTCGATTTGGCCGGGGACCGTCCCGCTATCGAGGGTGGTAATAGGCAACCAAAAGTGTATTTGTCGCATGCTGCAGTCAACATCTCCCACCTTGTGTATGTCTGCTCCAGATGTCAGCATTCCATCCCGCTGTCCTGGAGAAGCTTCGGTCCGCACTGCCAAAGATCCGCTCCATTCTCAAGTCACCCATCTCCAGCAAGACTCAGTTTATCAGAGCATTTATGACACACATGAAGTATGTGGATTGTTTGGTGGAACCAGACGACATTCAACACATGCTGCAAGATGCACTGGACATTCTAGCATCATGTCACGAGGTAATGATACGAGTACGTCGCTCCACCCTTATCATCTTCAAACTGCATGCAATGGGTCATCTTGATGAATGCTGGAGAGGGGGGGGGGGGGGGGGTCGGATAACTTGACATTGTGTTATCAAAGATTTGGTCCACATTGGGTGTATATGCTATAACGTTTGACTGCTGTCACTCACAATGCGCTAATGAATTAGGATGAATCACAACCCGAAGGTTACGGTGTGAGAACGAAGGGCAGTCTTTTTGCGACATGATGACAAAGAACATTTCACACCGGTGGGCTTTGACACCATCTTTGTATTCACTCTAAACTTGCTTCAAGTATGGCGGGAGTATCCCGGGAATGTAAAGCATACAGCGTAGTTTAAAAAATGAACAACCTCGCGTGGCTTTTCCTCCCTCGTGCCTCCCCATCATCTCCCTCCTTCTATTACCCCCCCCCCCCCCCATCTACCTGTGTCATTCTCTCTCTCTCTCTCTCTCTCTCTCTTTCTCTCTCTCTCTCTCTCTCTCTCTCTCTCTTTCTCTCTCTCTCTCTCTCTCTCTCTCTCTCTCTTTCTCTCTCTCCCTCACCATCTCTATTTCTTTCTCCATCACAGGTTATCTTGTTTGAACACGAAGGCCTGAAGAGAACCATAGTCAACGAGCCCTCCTGGTTCCTGACTGACATCCTCGGTACACTGTGTTCACCTCCTCACTACCCACCACCACGCGTTGCCTTCAACAGCTCTGGCAGTGCACCACTCAGCCATGCTATGTCCGTGTTCGGCGTGGACATAGTGGAGGTGCTGATACGACTGCGGCTGTGCGCCGTCGATCGCTCCACCATCATGTTGCCGCCGCGGCTCAAGCAGCCGGTGAGCGGATCGTCCCTCGTCGGCGGCTGGGTGAAGGATGACGATCTCAGCAGACACACTGGCTGCCTGTTTGTCTGTGACACGCGCACACCGTTCGCCTCCGGCCTGCCGACGCAGGTGCAGATTGCCGTGCGCGCTCAGTTCCACGAGAAGTTTGGCATAGAGTGCACCATGCTGCGCGATACGGTCGAGGCGCGGGCGTTTGGCAGCGCTACTCTTGGCTGCGTCACCTTCCACCCGGGTCTGCTGGAAGCCAGCGTGATTGTGCGCGGTGAAGCCGATCGAGAAGCTGCCATGCACTCTCTAATGGCTATTCTTCGCCAGACCCTCCTGGAGCTAACAGCAGTGTTCAGCCCAGGAAGCATCGTAGCAGAGTATGTGCTCAGCTCTCAGTCTATTGCCGAGCACATTCGTACAGGCCAGCGACCCCTGTCGTTTACGCATTACGCAACCGATGACGTCGTAAGCTGTTTAGTTGGCAACAAACCGCTCACGCCGCTCGGTGCTCAACCCCCAGCGGCGGACAATGCACTGGATCTCCTCCACCTGCCCAGTGATCACCTTCATCTACTGTCCACTGAGGGAAAGGCAGCACTTGTTGATGCGCTCAGCGAGCTAAGCGATGCTGGTGACTTGCTGAGGAAACTCGCCTGCAAACCCACGCCTGAGACCGGAGATGACAGCAGCTCAAACAAACAGATTGCGGAGGAGATTCTGGACCAAGTCAAAACATCACAAGGCTACTGCGCGACAACATCCTGGATGTTAGATCAGCTACGGGACAACACAGAAGACTGGAAAGACGTTATACAGGTGCTGAAAACTGAACAGAAGAAGGTGAGCAAACTCCTGTAAAAAAAAAAAATTTCACGGTTCGCGTGAGACTCGGCCAAAGGCCCAGTTTTCCGCATCCGCAGGAACGCCACCACCCTCTTGGATCAAGGCGCAGATGCAGCTCCTAAGCGGTGGGAGGTGAGTAGATCAGACCCACCACAAAGTGGTCAAAGACCGAAATCCCATTCACTGCATCCATGTTTCTCCTGTAAAGTGGAATAGAAATCAAATTTTGTTATTTTCGTGACCATTACGAATTTGCGAATTGATATGTAAACTGTGTTGTGCTTTGATTGTGGATGTGATCCCAGTGAAGATGTAATAATTAAAGTTGGAAACAATTTCATCGCGAATCATTGTATTTCTTTGAAAATGAAACATCTGAATGCAGCGAAAAAAAGTTTCTTGCTTCACGGTACTCGTGCATGACAATGAGTGGAAAACTACCAGTTCCGGTTACAGTTGATTTCTAGAAGTTGGCTGCTCCAACGTGGAACACACGCTTCCTGCTGAACTTGACACTTGACTGACTCACGACTGCCATCCGGAGCACACGAGTGTCAAGTGTCAAGTTTGGCAGGAAGCGTGTGTTCCGCGTAGGAGCAACCAACTTCCTTACTACAATAAAACCTGTAACTAAAGACCACCGTGACTAGCGACCAGCCTGGTACTACCGACCACTTCGCCAGGCACGGACGGACGGTCCCATATTCATATTGTGGTTGTGCGGTGCAAACCTCTAACTAAGGACCACCTGCCACTAAAGACCGCTTTCCCTGGCCCCAAGGGGTGGTCGTTAGTCACAGGTTTTACTGTAATACCGCCGAAGTCGCTACTTCTAAATTTGATTTCTGGTCCCTATTTCTCCTCTTTCCTACCCAGAGTCGAGAAGGTAGTGGGAATGAGTTTGAAGAAGACAATCGCCATCGTCGCCGGTACATGGACGTGCAGACGGACATGTTATCCACTGCCAGTAGTGATAGTGGTAAGCTGGACAAGCCACGATGGGGTGTCTAAGACTAAGCAGTGATGATTCATTGTGGGCTGGTTGTTGTCGTGCTCGCTGGATTGTGCCACGCTCATTTCAGAGACTCCTGTAGGGAAACTGTTGTTCAAATCAGAACAGGAGTCCAATTCCCCCTGTTTTCCTGTTTGCCACCTGACATTCTGTAGTAAGTGCGTTTGCATGAGTTCGTTGCCTGTAAGTATCTAGGCAGTGGAGGCAGCTCCGAGGCTGAGGGAAGACATGACCTAAGTCGGCTACAGGGCCACTAATCTCAGTACCATAAGAGGACGCATCTCTAACGGGCCGTGAATCATATCTGATTGTTTCACCTACACATTCCGCTGGCAACCAATACACCGCTAGTGCAGTACAGTCAACTTCGCGTATAACGACACTCAGCGGGGTATCAGAAAAGTGTCCTTATTCGCGAAGTCTTATTTTATGTACTACAGATACTTTGAAGTAGATGGGACTTGCTCTGGGCATGGAAATTCTGTCGTTATTCGCGAATTGTCGCTATATCCGCAGTCGTTATTAGCGAAGTTGACTGTAGTCCTTGCAGAACAAGAAGAACATACATTTTATGAGGGAATGACTCTAGTGAAGAGTGTCTAAGGATGGCCTACTAATACTAGTACAGTCAGACCTCGCTTAACCGCACACATCTATTTTCCACAAAAACATCCGGATAGGCGAGGTAACCGGATAACTGAACACACATACTGTACATGCATGTGGCATGTCAAAAGCAGTGACATCATACACACATGTAGACAGGTCCTATGCAGTACAACTAGCGTGCCCAGTATGTAAAACAAGCGAGAAAAATGACAAGTGCATGCAACTGAGTGCTGTCCGCACACACCCAGCAGGTCAAGTACCTCATTTGCTTGTACAACTCCTTGATACTAGCTTCTGCAAGCGCTAGCCAGCCACATGCAACCGGATACGACGAAGCATTTTGTACACATTTTAACCAGTTTGTACACAAAATCATGCACCGGTATGCGGATCGCGAGGTCCGGTTATGTTGTATGCATAACATATGCTGCACATCGGTAACCAGCGATTTTCTTCCGGATGGTGGGGGATCCGGATAAACGAGGTCTGACTGTACTTCCATAAAGTAAATTGCACACTGCATGGAGATTCCACGACGGTGATGGTATAGAGGTTATGCGATTACATCATCAGTTAAGATGCTTGGGCAATGTCGCGGTACAGCCTGCTAGCGATGTACTAGCGACACGCTCTCAATCTAATACATGTACTTAGCGCCCATCACTGGTTCCGCTGTACTTAGCGCCCATCAGTGGTTCCGCTGTACTTAACGCCCATCAGTGGTTCCGCTGTACTTAACGCCCATCACTGGTTCCGCTGTACTTAGCGCCCATCAGTGGTTCCGCTGTACTTAGCGCCCATCAGTGGTTCCGCTGTACTTAACGCCCATCAGTGGTTCCGCTGTACTTAACGCCCATCACTGGTTCCGCTGTACTTAGCGCCCATCAGTGGTTCCGCTGTACTTAGGGCCCATCATTGGTTCCGCTGTACTTAGTGCCCATCAGTGGTTCCGCTGTACTTAGCGCCCATCAGTGGTTCCGCTGTACTTAGCGCCCATCAGTGGTTCCGCTGTACTTAGTGCCCATCAGTGGTTCCGCTGTACTTAGTGCCCATCAGTGGTTCCGCTGTACTAAGCGCCCATCAGTGGTTCCGCTGTACTTAACGCCCATCAGTGGTTCCGCTGGACTTAGCTCCCATCAGTGGTTCCGCTGTACTTAGCGCCCATCAGTGGTTTCGCTGTACTTAGCGCCCATCAGTGGTCCCGCTGTACTTAGCGCCCATCAGTGGTTCCGCTGGACTTAGCGCCCATCAGTGGTCCCGCTGTACTTAGCGCCCATCAGTGGCTCCGCTGTACTTAGCGCCCATCAGTGGTTCCGCTGTACTTAGCGCCCATCAATGGTTCCGCTGTACTTAGCGCACATAAGTGGTTCCGCTGTACTTAGCTCCCATCAGTGGTTCCGCTGTACTTAGCGCCCATCAGTGGTTCCGCTGTACTTAGCGCCCATCAGTGGTACCGCTGTACTTAGCACCCATCAGTGGTTCCGCTGTACTTAGCGCCCATCAGTGGTTCCGCTGTGCTTAGCGCCCATCAGTGGTTCCGCTGTACTTAGAGCCCATCAGTGGTTCCGCTGTACTTAGCGCCCATCAGTGGTTCCGCTGTACTTAGCGCCCATCAGTGGTTCCGCTGTACTTAGCGCCCATCAGTGGTTCCGCTGTACTTAACGCCCATCAGTGGTTCCGCTGTACTTAACGCCCATCACTGGTTCCGCTGTACTTAGCGCCCATCAGTGGTTCCGCTGTACTTAGGGCCCATCATTGGTTCCGCTGTACTTAGTGCCCATCAGTGGTTCCGCTGTACTTAGCGCCCATCAGTGGTTCCGCTGTACTTAGCGCCCATCAGTGGTTCCGCTGTACTTAGTGCCCATCAGTGGTTCCGCTGTACTTAGTGCCCATCAGTGGTTCCGCTGTACTAAGCGCCCATCAGTGGTTCCGCTGTACTTAACGCCCATCAGTGGTTCCGCTGGACTTAGCTCCCATCAGTGGTTCCGCTGTACTTAGCGCCCATCAGTGGTTTCGCTGTACTTAGCGCCCATCAGTGGTCCCGCTGTACTTAGCGCCCATCAGTGGTTCCGCTGGACTTAGCGCCCATCAGTGGTCCCGCTGTACTTAGCGCCCATCAGTGGCTCCGCTGTACTTAGCGCCCATCAGTGGTTCCGCTGTACTTAGCGCCCATCAATGGTTCCGCTGTACTTAGCGCACATAAGTGGTTCCGCTGTACTTAGCTCCCATCAGTGGTTCCGCTGTACTTAGCGCCCATCAGTGGTTCCGCTGTACTTAGCGCCCATCAGTGGTACCGCTGTACTTAGCACCCATCAGTGGTTCCGCTGTACTTAGCGCCCATCAGTGGTTCCGCTGTGCTTAGCGCCCATCAGTGGTTCCGCTGTACTTAGAGCCCATCAGTGGTTCCGCTGTACTTAGCGCCCATCAGTGGTTCCGCTGTACTTAGCGCCCATCAGTGGTACCGCTGTACTTAGCACCCATCATCTGTTCCGGAATTCTGCTGACTCATCATTTTAACTTGCCCATACCCATTACCAGCGGAGCCGTACTGGGCCTATGTGTACTGTATAAGTAAAACAATTCGTTCACGAAATCTTTCGTTAGATCACTCCACCAGCAGCATGTTCGTTTCGTACTAGATTTAGTTTTTGGTCGAGGTCTGTCACCCCGAACGATCAGAAAAAAATAGTTTGGTACGAACTTTAGTTATTTCGTGCCCCCTGACGAATATAGCGAAAGTTAATTCCAAAAGAAACTTTGTACTTATACAGTAAGCGAGGCTGAACATCACAATGGCTGCTTGGTTGAGCACTGATATCTCTGCGCTTGTTTGCTGCTCGTGTAGGTGCAACTGCTGATGCTGCTGATGATGCTCCTGATGGAAGCAGCCAGCATGGAAATCTGAGGTACGCCGGTCTTAATAATGCAATGAATAAAACTTTATGTAGAGAGGAAAGGACCTATAAGTTACTAGTTATGACTAACAGTCCACCAAGGTAACGAGATAATATACAGTCAGCTACTGCTAGCGCAACAACAAAGCACAACACTGACAAGGATATTGAGACATTCGACGACCTGACACCTAGTTCCAACACATCTACGAAGCGCAAACCAACAACCTTCCAACTTCGAAGGCTATAAGAGGCACAAAGTTTCAATGAGGGAAAGGAATGTGCCACGAAGATGTGGCCGAGCTATGTCCCTCGGCAACAAAGAATGTCGAACGTTACGGGACGATGATGACGGCACTAGTAAGACCATTGGATAAACCGGTCTAACTACAACTCGAAAACGCAAGGCAACGGACTACCCAACTTAGGAGGCTCAAAGGTATGTACAAATTCATGAAGAGAGGGGAAGCGAAGAACTGTTTTCGAGTTGTAGTTAGACTGGTTTATCCAATGGTCTTACTAGTCTCGTCATCATCATCCCGTAACGTTCGACATTCTTTGTTGCCGAGGGACATGATCCCGATTTTCGTAAACAAAAAGAAAATGTCCCGCACTTACATGTACACTCTTCCAGTAAATTGGCACTCACACACACTTGCACATGCATGTACATTGCCACCCTGCACTTGCTGAATTTCCGATCATTTTAGATTTGTGCTGGGCACACACACACCACACACACACACACACACACACACACACACACACACACACACACACACACACACACACACACACACACACACACACACACACACACACACACACACACACACACACTACTACTACTACTACTACTACTACTACTACTACTACTACTACTGTAGCTTGGTTGCCACAAGGGCCACACCACTCCGAAAGGAGCCAGAGTCATTGTCAGGAGCAGAAACGGAGATGACGACTCAGGTCACTCTGTCGACGGAACTGACGGCTGCAGCGAGAACAGCGAACACCATACGACGCTCTATCAGACTTGGTTGCTCGATGGCCACGGTCGCACTTGTGACGTCTGAAACCAGGCACTGACTTGAACTGCCGATTGCATGTCACACACAAGAGAGAAGCTGGGACGTTGAGCGGAATAGGTGATGCCGGCGCGGACGCTTCCGATGGTTCCAGGGGCAAACAATGATGTACACGCAAGCCACCACGAGAGTGAAACCACCTCCTGCATGTACCACACTGCACAGCACCACGCTGTTCCTGGATGGGGAGACTTCGTTCTGCGCTACACTTGTGTCTTGCTTTGTCACCTGGCCGACGAAACGAACGGTGGCAGATAAGACAGTCCACCCGTTGAGATTGGTCATGGGAAGGACCGCCGAGGCTCGGCCCAACGGCAGACACCCGCCAGGCAGATCGATCCTGAGCAATCCCATACCAAGCTAGATGTTCAATGCCGATGTGCCGAAGATCAGCCGAAGTCACATCCCTCCAGCGACGACGGGGACCACACGCAGGCCGAGGCGACGGTAGGAAGCCAAACAACAGCTGCTTGGGCACACGAACATCCGACATGCGGGCCACATGGCCAAGCCATTCAAGCCTCCGCTTCCGCACACACACACACACACACACACACACACACACACACACACACACACACTCTCTCTCTCTCTCTCTCTCTCTCTCTCTCTCTCTCGACTGACAGTTTGAAACACACGGTGTACATCAGATACACACTTGTCCCATGCTGGGTTTTGAGCCTTCAATGCATCTAAAGAGCACACTTACGCTGCCCTGCGCTACAAGTAACTTAAAGCCAATTTTTCTGCATTTCCCTGTATTTCCCTTGCAGAGAATTTGACTTATCCAGCTTAGCGGACATCAAGTCCTTTGCCACGGCCCTCACCCAGCTCCTGAGTGAAGCAGAGCGAGGTAAGACGATGCATACCGCAAAGTCTTGTTTAAAAGCCGCGGCTTCTATGACTTTCTTGGTGAAATTTTGCAGGCTTCTATATGAGACAGGCTTCTATACAAGACAGGTATTTCTATGTATGTCAACACTAAAACCAGGCTTATGTGTGATTTGATGGGCCCAAAATTGCGGCTTCTATTCGAGGGCAGCTTCTATACAAGACTTTACGGTAGCTATAAATTCACATCCGATTGTGTTGCGTGCGTAACACTTTGAGCAGAGATTTGCCGATCAGCATGATGTGTGCGTGGTCCAGGGTCCACATGGCGTGCATGCTGCAGAAGAATGTACAGTGCGGCTGGCAACTGAAATCCGATCCCTGAGCGGTGCGCTCACATCGCAAAGACCCCACACGGGATAGTAAAACTACGAAATAGAGACCGCTAGAATGTGAACGCATCGCTCAGTGGTCGGATTTCAGTTGCCAGCAGCAGTGTACACTGTGTTAGGTCCATGTTGCCCCTGTACATGTACACAAGGGAAGACATCATTCACTGGGACGTCAATAGACAGGTTAAGAGGCATGTTATTTCCGACGTGACGCGCAACATCACGTCAAATTTGGCGTAAAACTCACAAATTTCGACCTGAGCTGCAGGTCACTCGCGTTGTTTTCCGACGCGCGAGCCAAATAACGCGAGCTGAACTTTCGCGTCACGCCTGAAATAACGTGCATCTTAACCTTTCTAATGACACGCTCTGACTCTGAGACCCATTCCAACCATCAGACACAGCAGTGTCAGGCTGCTGTGATACAGTGCTGTCGGGTACTGAAGAGCTGGAGGGTCAGCCTCGGAGCCTAGGCCGTTTTACGTTCATGCTCTATGGTGTCTATGCACAGTTGAGTCACCGTACAGGTACTGTAGTGTTTTGAGTAGAAGCCTGATTCCCAAGATACGCTGTCAGCACATACGCCTGGTTTTAGTGTTGATACACATAGAAACACCTGGTTTGAATAGAAGCCTGGTGTGAATAGAAGCCTAGCCCTGACATTGGCTTCTACAGGAATACGCCCGGCTTTAATACGCGACTTTACGGCATACATTGGTTTGCTGTGCTTGGTGAAATTCTAGCCTGTTCGTTCTTCTGCGCTGCGTTCTCCGGCATCCGGCAGTACTGTACAGTCAGACCTCGCTTAACCGCACACATCATTTTTTTCACAAAAAAATATCCGGATAGGCGAGGGAGCTGGATAACCGAACACTGGTGGATGCATCATGTATGCTGTAAATCTGTAACCAGCTATTTTCTTCTGGATGGCGAGGGATCCGGAGAAAAGAGGACCGGATAAGCGCGGTCTGACTGTATTGCTTTGCGCTCTGCATGTTGTTCACAGTAAGGTGAGTGTGTGGCACTTGTCCACACATTTACTTGCTGTGTAAATCCAACTTCACAAGACAAGTACAAGACGGCTGTGCAGTGTTTGTGAGTCAAACCATGCAGCGTACAGTGGTGCTTTCGATTCTGAAAGAGGGCGGCTGGAACTTTTTTAAGGAGGACACAGCTCCACGCGATGCCTACAAACATGTCAGTCCACACACCAGCATGAGTGCAGTAGAGGTGCGCTCCCAAATACGTTGTTTCCAAGGGGTTAGCCTGGCACGCTCTTACTGTACGTCCACAAATTTCTGGCTATTTTTGGCCTGATCATGTTTGGCTGAAAATTTGTTGCAGCCGAAAAAAAATTTTGCAAGGTTCAGTGGGACAGTGTATACAGGCAGCAGCAGTACAGCCCGAAAATTTGTTGCAGCCGAAATGTGTTTTATCCCTGGGAGGCCGAAATTTGAATGGGCCGAAAATTTGTCCACTTATGGGATATTCACACGACAGGCAAATCCACGTGCACCGGAAAGTTGCTATGGTATTTTACCTGTGAACGAGAAAAGTGGCTGAAAGTAGCTGAAAAGTGCAAGCGAGCTGGGGGCCCACTTTCACGATAATCGTGGCGTGCACGAGTACATTTACACCAAAAAGCACGAAACAAGACTTGATTTTTTTACGCGGCTCTTTAGAACATGATTATTGTATGCGTGTTTTGAAAATTTGAAATACCCATGGCTACTGGTCGGTGAAGCATTCAAAAATGCAAACGTACCTGTCGTCAAGTGCAGCTGTGTGAATCCATACAGTCACTTTTCTCGTATGTCACTCCCTGCAAATTTCCGGTGCACGTGGATTTGCCTGTCATGTGAATACCCCATTACAGTATATTCAGCAATCTGGCTGCATTCTTAGAAACAATTCGTGCTGAATCCTACTTCAGTATGTATTTTCAAAGCTACCAGAAAACACAAACTTCCGTTCTCAACTTGAGGCTATGGCGTTCTTAGCATTTCAGGCTGAACGTTCTTGGGCTCCATGTTCTTTTTTTCTTTTTCTTCGGCGCGCGCCTCTACTGTATTTGTGTGATTCTGCAAACTGTGCTTCATTCCTAGATCAACTGGCTCGCTGCGTTGTCACGGACATACTGGATGAGAGTACGAACTATCGCAAAGTCATCACGGAGCACATGACACAGAACGCGGACACGTGTGGCAGTGCCGGGCCGGTCAGCGCGGACAACATCGACGGCATCCTGTCGTTCTGGATGCGCGAGAGCGTGTGCCTGCCGCCGACTAGCCTCCACTTGGTGTACTTCATAGAGGAGAGTACGTTTAGCGTGGCAACGCGTCAGGCATGTCATCAGCTCATAGCCACGGTGAGTAGTCTTGCATGAGCCCCTTTTAGCCCCGTACACATTCCCGTATGCACACACTCCTGTACACACATCTACATGCACACCGCTGTACACACACCCATTCATGCACTCCCTGCCGACCTTTTGCCTCGCTTACTGCACTGCTGACCTCTATCTTCCCACTCACAGTGTTCCCGCTTGCGCCCTTGCCGCGAGTGACCTTTTGCCTCCGGCGCTTGCTGCATGCACCCCAGTTCCTTGAACTGGGAACCGACTCGATTGCCATGCACAATGGTCGACACAAATTTCAAACTTACAGTTGTGCTGGGTGAAATCCAACCCAGAGTGCACTTGTGGCGCCTTTAACTTGAACGGTCCTTGACGCCCTGGAAGTGGTACTGTGAAATTATCGACCACAACTAAAAACTACGCGGTCTTCAGACCCCTGTTGTGGCACGATTTCCTGGCCTTTTCGTGGAGACAACTAGAAGACTGTATTTACTTATTGGTTTCAACCACACTCTCAAATCAACCAGAAAACAACCAACAACAACGATCGCCAAATCGCTGTCATCAGCAAAACGTGCTCGCGTGCGTGCATTGGCTTACGTGTAGTCTACGTGTACATCAGTGTGCGTGCATGCATATCGAAGTGTACGAGTAGAAAAGAAGAATGATCATGCGCGCGCGCATGATGCATCGATGAGTCATACCACCACGTAACCATGGATATAAATAATGGCGACGCGATGGCGACAGCAAAGTAATTATTAGTTCCGCGTACAAAAGCGCAGGTGCAACAAGGAAAAATCAGAGTGCAGAACAAACAGAAATTCAAATCGAAAGGAGATAAATATTGTGGAGATGAAGCAAATCAGTTTGGTCTGTCAGAGGGTGCTTGCGCCCAGAGACAGGGTGACAGCAAACCCTGTCAGAGAGAGTCAGTGTACAGAATAGGAATACATAGAACGCAGCACGCAGTGGAGTTGCTGTGGAGAGCGAGAATGCAAGCAACAACGTAAGTATTATCTATGCAACTGATTATATCGGCGTATCCGACAAACACGCACAACAAACACTGCATTGTAACAACACACTCGTAAATGATGTTATCCCAACAACACTCATTCTATTTCAGCGCAGTGTCCTGTCCAATCACACTCAAAATCACACTCGTAAATCTCGCACACTCCCTCCTTGACAATATGACAACTGACACTCATAAATCTCGCACACTCCCTCCTTGACTATTCAATAGTCAACTACATTACAACACTAGAATAGAAAGATGCGACTGCTGGTGCACTGCCATACTCACAACCTGTTGGCACTGATTAGCTGCTGTACTGCTCGAGATGTTTTAGTGTGGCGTTGAGGAGGAACGGACTCGACGTGAGCCCGAACATCACGCGAGCGAACCGGTACACCTGCACATGTCGCTCATTCGAGAACGTCCGATCCCACCACAGGAACCGCAGTGCATTCCGGTCGTGCTCGCATACGTTGAGCATGAGGAACGCCTTCTCAATGTCCCCAGTCAGGGCAACTGGATAGCACCGAAAGCGGAGGAGGATGTCTGGGATGTGCTCCAGCAATTTGCGGAGGCCCGACAGATCATGCTCATTGCTGATACCTGGCAAGTTCAGCAGGGCATCCATGTGCGCACTGATTATACGCTGCGGATCTCCGTACCGCTGCTCTAGACACTTGACTGCCGCTGCGTAATTCGCCTCTGTGAGGCTCAAACCACTGATCACTGCTGCTGCTGCTCCGTAAACACTGCTACGTAGGTATGTGAACTTATCCGTGTCTGTCAAGCCGCTATTGGAGTGGATCAGCGACTTGAACACATCAAAGAAATGCTGCCACTCCATTGCGTTGCCACCAAACTTGCCGAGCTCTAGTTTCGGCAGCTTCACTCTGGCAGAGCTGCCACTGGCCGACACTGACGACAGCGTACTCAACTGTGAGTTGGACGCTGACGCCGCCACAACACTCTCTTCTGTAAGGGCAGCAAGCTTCTCAGTACTAGTATTATCACTCGCGGCAACCTCAGCAACTCCACTGCGTGCTGCGTTCTATGTATTCCTATTCTGTACACTGACTCTCTCTGACAGGGTTTGCTGTCACCCTGTCTCTGGGCGCAAGCACCCTCTGACAGACCAAACTGATTTGCTTCATCTCCACAATATTTATCTCCTTTCGATTTGAATTTCTGTTTGTTCTGCACTCTGATTTTTCCTTGTTGCACCTGCGCTTTTGTACGCGGAACTAATAATTACTTTGCTGTCGCCATCGCGTCGCCATTATTTATATCCATGGTTACGTGGTGGTATGACTCATCGATGCATCATGCGCGCGCGCATGATCATTCTTCTTTTCTACTCGTACACTTCGATATGCATGCACGCACACTGATGTACACGTAGACTACACGTAAGCCAATGCACGCACGCGAGCACGTTTTGCTGATGACAGCGATTTGGCGATCGTTGTTGTTGTTTTTGTTTTCTGGTTGATTTGAGAGTGTGGTTGAAACCAATAAGTAAATACAGTCTTCTAGTTGTCTCCACGAAAAGGCCAGGAAATCGTGCCACAACAGGGGTCTGAAGACCGCGTAGTTTTTAGTTGTGGTCGATAATTTCACATGGTCCTTCGAGCCGGATCGTGGAGCTTGAGATCGAGAGTCGATTAGTGTTTTAAAATCGAGAAATTTGGTCAGTCATGGAGGAGAAGGAGGAGTCCAGAGAGACGAGTGAGACCACTAGCTCTGGGACAAGACAACCAGCAGTAGAAGCGTCGGCAAAGACGCAGGATCAGCTTGTTTTGCGCAAGAAGCGCAGGGTGCGTGGGGGCCATCGGGGATCGTGCACGAGATGCATGGGCGAGTTCCAGCACGTTGTGGACGAAGCTCGATATCTGAATGTGTTGGCCGACGATGTCCGTGCGTCTGTGCGTCATGCACGCAATTTGCTGGCGTGCAAGAGGGAGCTGCTGGCCGCTCTGGACGCAGAGGTCTTGGATTTAGTGTGTGACGTCAGTGATGGAGACGTTGAGGAGGAAGTCATGGAGGCGGATGACTGGACACTGAAGCTGCAGACGTTCTGCAGCACACTGGACCGTATATTGGATTTCCCAGCAGAGGAAAAAGCACGTACCCGTGATGACCGATGCGCCAGTACACTGGGAGACAGTTCAGAGAGGACTGCAGACTCGCGAAAAGCAGTCAACCCGATCACTGAGGTTGCCGCGAGTGATAATACTAGTACTGAGAAGCTTGCTGCCCTTACAGAAGAGAGTGTTGTGGCGGCGTCAGCGTCCAACTCACAGTTGAGTACGCTGTCGTCAGTGTCGGCCAGTGGCAGCTCTGCCAGAGTGAAGCTGCCGAAACTAGAGCTCGGCAAGTTTGGTGGCAACGCAATGGAGTGGCAGCATTTCTTTGATGTGTTCAAGTCGCTGATCCACTCCAATAGCGGCTTGACAGACACGGATAAGTTCACATACCTACGTAGCAGTGTTTACGGAGCAGCAGCAGCAGTGATCAGTGGTTTGAGCCTCACAGAGGCGAATTACGCAGCGGCAGTCAAGTGTCTAGAGCAGCGGTACGGAGATCCGCAGCGTATAATCAGTGCGCACATGGATGCCCTGCTGAACTTGCCAGGTATCAGCAATGAGCATGATCTGTCGGGCCTCCGCAAATTGCTGGAGCACATCCCAGACATCCTCCTCCGCTTTCGGTGCTATCCAGTTGCCCTGACTGGGGACATTGAGAAGGCGTTCCTCATGCTCAACGTATGCGAGCACGACCGGAATGCACTGCGGTTCCTGTGGTGGGATCGGACGTTCTCGAATGAGCGACATGTGCAGGTGTACCGGTTCGCTCGCGTGATGTTCGGGCTCACGTCGAGTCCGTTCCTCCTCAACGCCACACTGAAACATCATCTCGAGCAGTACAGCAGCTAATCAGTGCCAACAGGTTGTGAGTATGGCAGTGCACCAGCAGTCGCATCTTTCTATTCTAGTGTTGTAATGTAGTTGACTATTGAATAGTCAAGGAGGGAGTGTGCGAGATTTATGAGTGTCAGTTGTCATGTTGTCAAGGAGGGAGTGTGCGAGATTTACGAGTGTGATTTTGAGTGTGATTGGACAGGACACTGCGCTGAAATAGAATGAGTGTTGTTGTGATATCATTTACGAGTGTGTTGTTACAATACAGTGTTTGTTGTGCGTGTTTGTCGGATACGCCGATATAATCAGTTGCATAGATAATACTTACGTTGTTGCTTGCATTCTCGCTCTCCACAGCAACTCCATTGCGTGCTGCGTTCTATGTATTCCTATTCTGTACACTGACTCTCTCTGACAGGGTTTGCTGTCACCCTGTCTCTGGGCGCAAGCACCCTCTGACAGACCAAACTGATTTGCTTCATCTCCACAATATTTATCTCCTTTCGATTTGAATTTCTGTTTGTTCTGCACTCTGATTTTTCCTTGTTGCACCTGCGCTTTTGTACGCGGAACTTTGCTGTCACCATCGCGTCGCCATTATTAATTTTATATCCATGGTTACGTGGTGGTATGACTCATCGATGCATCATGCGCATGATCATTCTTCTTTTCTACTCGTACACTTCGATATGCATGCACGCACACTGATGTACACGTAGACTACACGTAAGCCAATGCACGCACGCGGGCACGTTTTGCTGATGACAGCGATTTGGCGATCGTTGTTGTTGTTTTTGTTTTCTGGTTGATTTGAGAGTGTGGTTGAAACCAATAAGTAAATACAGTCTTCTAGTTGTCTCCACGAAAAGGCCAGGAAATCGTGCCACAACAGGGGTCTGAAGACCGCGTAGTTTTTAGTTGTGGTCGATAATTTCACAGGTACGAATGCAGCTGGACGTACACATGTACAAGTACAATGATGTAATCGGAACTGGTCCAGGGCGTCAGGGTTGCACTTTGGGTCGGATTTCAGTGAGCACAACTGCACTTCCAAGGACCACAAGCATACTACCAAGAGTAGATAAACAAGGGTGTGCAACTCCGCATCTCTCCTGCACAATCTGCAGATACCCCGGCCCACGGTGGAATTTTTCTGTTGACGTCACCTTTTTCAGAAGCACGCGCATCTTGCAGCGGAGCAGTGTGAAAGCACGTGCCGGGCACCGACCTTGTAATGTAAAGCCCGGCCAAGTGCAGGAGGCGAAACTTCCCAAAAGACTCGCAGAACGTGCGTCGTAGAAAAGACTACATCAAGAAAGAATTCCGCCGTTGGCCGACCCACTCTTGTTTGCTAGCATCTACTCTTGTTTGCTAGTATCTACTCTTCATAATAGTACTGTATAGCCGAGGTCATGTATACCTGGCGTCGAATGGCTGGTGTTGCATGAATGCAGGATCCTCAAGATAGTTCTTTACATCCCCCCTTGGACATTGTCAGGGAAGTGGACTGTCAGAAAAGTGGAAAAATGCCAACCCCACCAGCACTCTTACCTGGGACCTCGCTTGTCATGAGTAATGCTCCAACCATCTGAGCTGTGAGGTGACGTATTTGTCACTCCACAGGCCCCTCACAACACGTACCACACATGCACACTTATCTGTGTGTGTGCGTGTGTGTGTGTGTGTGTGTGTGTGTGTGTGTGTGTGTGTGTGCCAGTTGTGTGGATTAGACAGTTATCTGGCGCTTGTCTTGATCTGTTTCAATCAGAATCAGATCTGCTATCACTGCTATAAAGAGAAAATCTGTGAGTGCACATCCAGTGCATTTGCAGATTTACGTGCTTCTCTTGCGACGGGCGTATACATGGTACATGGTGTGTGTGGGTATGTGTGGGTATGTGTGTGTGTGTGCGTGCGCGCACGTGCGTGTGTGTGTCATACCACGGCACTGACTTAGATGCAACTGTGTGATGCATCAAATAGGAACGTTGTTGTGTGAGTAGTGGCTGCTTTGCCGTTACAGCAGTTTTGGTCATATGGTGGATGCAACCCGACTTCTCATAAATATTGGCAGTCTTACGACGAGTCAAGAGATGTTGAATAAATAAATAAACAAATCTCTGTACGTTTGATGCCGTTTGAAACGATACAGGCCAAGCTGAAGACCTGAGGACAGAGCTGTTCAGATCGAAGGGTCGAGCGGTGCACCGGAATGGAAGACTTGTGCGGAGACGAACAAATCATAGGAAATGCTCCACTAGCAACGAGGAACGTCAGACCCAGCAGCGCAAAAGGAGATAGGAGTGAGTGAGTGAGAGAGAGAGAGGAGAGAGAGAGAGAGGTTAGGGTGTTACGGAGGCATTCATCCAAGCTGCTGCCCTCCATCTATGTGGCTGTTGACAACATTAGCACCGCTATTGTCTTGGCTTTGGTGGAATGCATACATGTGGCCAATTGACCAATCCAAAGGAAAGAATCGTGGAAATTTTCAAATTGCTTGTCTGTCTTCATCATTGAAAAATGCTACTACAGCGTTTACAATCTGTCATACTTTGCTGAGAATTATTTACATTTTACAAGCTTTCTTTCACTTATTTCGAAGAACTTTCAAAACTTCATCAACAGAAGATGAAATTAATAAATTATTGCAGTGTGTACAGCCAAGTGTATACATGTATTTGGGTAGTAAGTGGTAGTAGTGATTCTTATCCACCTGGGGACTTGGCTGCACTAATGGCCGCCGTGCTTCTCCTTCCTCTCTACCTCGACCTTTCTATGGCCATCTTGCTCCTCGGTTGGATTGGAGGATTTCTCCCAGCTCTAGTTTCCAATCTTTCTAGTTCACTTTCAAGTTTGAATTATTTTGAATTCAGAGTGTATTTAGGGGCCGTCCGTGAATATCGATGTTTTTTTCAAGACGATATTTGTTCATTTCTCCCCCTTCAAAACGAACATACACATGTTTATGCAAGGGTTCGATATTTTTAATGAAGTTCAATTTCCTCATGAAACGTGACCAGCTGCCACTCTAATTTCACCGTACACCTAGGTTTATGTTGCCACGGTCGCACAACCTTGCCATGGCTATGCTCACGATACGCACATGATACGAGGTTGACTTTCACATTGTGTAGGTCATAAACTACATGTTCGAACAGTGCCCGTCCATAGATAGAGTTCGATATTTTTTTCTGCAAAGACAAGACGAACAGGGCCCAAACCCCCTCCCCCCCCCCCCCCAAACGAACGAATATCTTCTCTAAAAAAACATCGATATTTGTGGACGACCCCTTAGACAAAATAATGCTGCCTGCTGGTCCACACTGTACTGATAATCTGATACCACTCATTCCAAATTGATACTACCGGTAATACTTGAAGATCAAGATTCAAGAGTCCTCTGTGCGTGTGTGTGTCCCATAAGTGGGATCATTCCCAAGTCCACCCATAGTTTGGGTATTTAGGGGGGGGGGGGGGTTGGCCGATGGGCAGTTCAATAGCCAATTGAGCCATCTTTCCAAGATTCCTTTTGTATCTCTCTCCCCTCTCCCAGGAAGACCCACGTGACCAGTTTCGGCAGTGAGCAAGTACAAGTGTGTGTGTGTGTGTGTCATTTTTAGCACCTACGGTTGCCAGCTTGAGTTTCTGTTGCATTCTTATGCCATTTATACTGCTATTGTGCAAGAACTGCTGCTGCAGCTGGATAGCTCCCAGTCACACAGACTTATCGACTTACATGTATCGTTCCCTCTTATGTCCAGGCTGCCTGTTTTTTAGAGGCATCAGTGCCCGATGATTGTGATTTTACTTCACACATAGCTCTCTCTCTCTCTCTCTCTCTCTCTCTCTCTCTCTCTCTCTCTCTCTCTTATTGTGTCCTTAAAGAGTACATGTGCTGTACAATGTACATTAATTTTCATCATAATGCTCGGCCAGTCACTCTGACTCCTCCTGAGCTCCGCTGATGACCGTGACCTAAGTTAGCCAGGTCAAGACAGCTAGCTGTGCCGAGATCACGGGCACCCTACAAGTAGACGTGTGTGAACGGCTTTGCACGTTGTGCATGTTGTGCACTGAGCTATTGCAGTGACCGTGCCTACGAGGATGTACTCTTGGCAATAGGCATTGTGTACAGTTCTGGAATAGATGGTTCACACGTACATGTACTTGGCTGCTGTTGTATATTTGTATTGTTGCTTCGAACAGGAAAATAAACCTTCTTACATAAAGTCGACAGAGAGGGGAGGACCAAGGGTTAAACCAATGCATGCGACACATGGCCAGTAACAGTGTCGCCGGCTGATTCCTCCATCATGACTTCGAGTTGGAAGTGCTGCATTACTAACTATATCTAAGAAATTTGGGAAAAGAACAAAAATTAGGTTTCTCACAAGTAACAGTTTCGAAGAAAAATTAAATTCAGTATCATACCTTCGGGGATCATACTTTCAATACCTCCTCATCAAATGGAATGCAGGAGAAAAGAATTGAATGAGAACAATACAGGAGAGAGGTGATAGAATAGCGCAAAAAAAAAGACTTAGAGCAGCCAAAAGACAACAGCGGTAAAAATGCGTGACCTCATACACATAAAGGGAATGACAAAAAATGATGCAAGTTAACAAGCAATGGACACAACTAACGAGTCAGAATTTTCGACAACCCACCTAACGGCCTAAGTGGGAATTTGATTTGCTTCTGTTTGCATTAGTTCTTTGTGTGAATAAAACAGCTTCTAAAATTTCAAAGCTCTTAAAGAGCTTCTAAACATTCAATGATTTAGCACTACTTGTAGCACTGCATATTTGTGATAAAATAGAAAAGCAAACAAGCATTGCTTGTCTATTCCATCAGCACGCTTGTTGGGTTTCTTCACACTTCACTTGCACCTTTTTGTCTTTTCTTCTGTGCATGAGGTCACGCATTTCACCGTTGTTGTTTCTGGCTTCTCATATTTGTCCTGTTCTGTCACCTCTCTGCTGTATTAAATTGCTTGTCTATTCCATCAGCACGCTTGTTGGGTTTCTTCACACTTAACTTGCACCTTTTTTGTCTTTTCTTCTGTGCACGAGGTCACGCATTTCACCATTGTTGTTTCTGGCTTCTCATATTAATTTTGTCCTGTTCTGGCACCTCTCTGCTGTATTAAATTCATTGTTCTAGCTCAAATTCTTTTTTCCCTGTATTCCACCTGATGAGAAGGTAAAATGGCATTGTATTGGAAGTACAGTACATGTACAGTAGTACAGGTGAAATCCTGATAATTCGAATATGGCTTAATTCGAACATACCGCTTAATTAGAAGTTTTTCAAGGACCTATTTCTATCAATACGATTCCCACATAAAACTTTCTGATAATTCGAACCTCGAACTGGACATGTCCGGTTAATTAAAAGTCCCACAGATTCCACTTACATAGAAAATGCGTGGGATTTGTGCTGATAATTCGAAGTATATTAGTAGCAAAGTGTAATTCGAAGTTCACTGTAGATCTACTTGAAGTACATTGTACTGGTCAAGTCAGTTTGCATGAGCAGGCTGTGCTGGTCAGTTCAGTATCCGTGAAATCTGTGTCTAAGGTCCATAGCACAACTCTGCGTGACCCTGAGAGCACTTTGACATGCATATTGTGTTGTCGGCTCATGTTTGGATAATTAGAATGTCCGGATAATCAGAAGTTTTTTCCTGGCATTTTGAGGTTCGAATTATCAGGATTCCACCTGTACCTCTCAGTCTGTTTTTTTTTTTAAATCAGGCGCGTGCCCTGTATGGTTGCCCGGAACCCCCCCCCCCTTTTTCGCTCAAAATGCAGGATTTTGCTTCATTTTTTGAAAAATTTCCGGGGGAGGTCCCCCCCAAACCCCCCTTGAAGGGCACCGGCGCACCGCCTGGAAACTGTTGCTTGTGGGGAGCCTGAGGTTCGTTCTTTTCCCAAATGTGAGTGACATACATGTACTTCAGAAGTATGGACTGAACATTATGGGGTATTCACACGACAGGCACTTGCACGTTTTACAGGGAGTGACGTATGAGAAAAGTGACTGTATGGATTCACACAGCTGCACTCGACGACAGGCACGTTTGCATTTTTGAATGCTTCACCGACCAGTAGCCATGGGTATTTCAAATTTTCAAAACACACATACGATAATTATCATGCTCTAAAGAGCTGCGTAAAAAATCAAGTCTTGTTTCGCGCTTTTTGGTGTAAATGTACTCGTGCACGCCACGATTATCGTGAAAGTGGGCCCCAGCTCGCTTTCACTTTTCAGCCACTTTCAGGCACTTTTCTCGTTCACAGGTAAAATACCATAGCAACTTTCCGGTGCACGTGGATTTGCCTATCGTGTGAATACCCCATTATGATTATGACGAGTAGAATTCTGATTTCACTATAACCATTGCAATCTTCATTCTGGTACCTTCTGACACAATTTTGTTGCTCACCTTACAGTTACTGCTTACGTAGTCCAGTTGAGCACGTGTAATTATTTCCATCTCCAATGGCAGCCAGAACGATGCACCCTGCGCTTCTCTCTAATTGCCATTGCCATTGCCTGCTTGCTGACTTTCTATTCTTCTCTTCCGTCTAAAAATAAGAAATGAATGGACCGTATGCGTGTTAAAACAAAATGGCGTCACGATTTATTGAAAGTGGTATAGTTGGCGGTACGAGTGTTCAAACCCATTTGAACTTCATACTGTTCGTCTTCTTTTTGACATGCTCTCTTTCCATCGTCCTTAGCTTTTGTTTGTTGAGAGCTGTTTTGGCTTTCTCCTATACCTCTGGGGTATGCCAAGTGATGGTTTTGAGAGGCTGGTGATGGCTGTGAGCGAGAGTTTGCCGATCGGCGTCGTCCTCGCTATAGCGATGAAAATACTAGTTACTGCGCACCTGGCAGATACCACAACACGTCGGAGCGTCCAGGAGCAAAGGAATCTTGGGTTTTCACTGGAATCTAGTTCCTCCAGCATCGTGTAGCCCACCGTCGGTGAATGGCGGTCCAGAAAGGTCGAACCTGGTCTTCTGCAGCATCTCGCAGTCCTGCGAGGCACACTGAATACGCCTGTCATGTATTCTACAAATAAAAATCACGAAGTAGTGGACTTTACAGTGATGAGTCTATCCTGTATGCTGCAAAAGACGCAGGAAATGTGACTGGTGTCCGTACACTGGACGCCAATATCATCCCAGTCTTCTCCTGCAGGATCTGCTTGACATTGACATACCGGTATGCAGTGGGTTGACATTGGCCTGGTTTGGCAGCTATCTGCCTGGGTGGATGTAGCAGGTTTGCATTGGCGCGTCGTCCAGTCCGACATTTTCTTGTAACTGTGGAGTACCGGCAGGGTTTGAGAGGTTGCTCGTGCTGTGAACACATCTCTACTGCCTGTCTCGTCCTGGAAGTGCCGTCTCGCCGCTTCCTTGCTCTACAGTCACGCCGTTATTTCGCTTTGTTTCGTGGTGCAGCTCAAAACCTGCCCAAACAACTGTGAGCTCACAACATGGTATGGACAAATTGCACCACTCATGCTGGTTAACTAAAACCGGGATAGTCGAGTATGCGAGTTCACTCCCTGGGCCATGGCAAGATCTGTTCAGCGCGGGCTATTCTAACCTCCAAGTGCATAGTCATCGATCGGTCCATGCGATGGTGGTTGACCTACAAAGAGCCAAGGTCTACGAGTACTACTATTGGATGCTGTCTACATGCAGTCAACAAAATCAAAGTACCTCAGTATGCCCCAGAATAGGGCATATGCGTCTATAGCATGACACAACAGGGGTTCTGGCGGCACCTGTCAAACAAGCAGTAGCGACTAGTGCCAGCTACCTATTGGAGGCTAGCCGCTACAGTCTGTCACTGGAGATAATTATTATGTTCACTGTTTAGACTGAGCACAATCAATGATGCCCAATCAATCTGCCCAATGTGTGTTCTGTTCCACCTAATTATAACGTCCCATCGCATCAACCCTACTACACGCACTTGTCGTCACTCTAGCACGACTTGTGTTATTATTGTTTATTTTGATTCGCACGATAAATAGAGCACAATAAACGTTAACTTGACCGAAGGTTAAAGGCGACTGCATATAGAGGAACACATCGAGGTACAGGTACCGGCATCAATACAGTATCAGAGAGAAACAAACAAAAATGAGAGGTACGCAGAAAAAACTCTCGTAAGCCCAAGGGGAAGTGGTTGATGAGGGATGAATGCACTCTCCACGATCATCTACACTGTTCGTGGAAATGCACACATACATACAATAATATACAACATAGCAATAGCATGCACAGAACCGAACAATTTCATGTTCACACATGCAAGCACAGACTTGAACATTAGTACCAAAAGCCGATACAGACAATATCCCCATAC